AAGAAAGAGAACTAAATCATGTAACCACAGTTCTGGCATCAAATGGCTATCCAAAGAAATTAATTTCAGGATTGATCAAAAAACGTAAGAAAAAAAAATGTAGTAAGCCCTGAAGAGTTAGTCCGGTCATTTTTCGAATTTGTCGAAGGAAAGTCGCCACCTGCAGGAATCGCGGTTCTACCTTACAACAAAGAACTAACCGAATCCCTAGCCAGAACACTCCAAAAACATGACATCAAAGTTTACAATAAGCCAGTGAAAACCCTCGAACGCTAGTTTCCATCTGCAAAACAGAAACCACCAATTGAAGAGCAAAAGAGCATGATCTACCAAATACCGTGTCAAGATTGTAGTTGGAGCTACATAGGCGAAACAGGAAGATCCTTGAAGACGAGAAAGTATGAACACGTAAGGAATGTAAAACAAAGCAAGAAGGGATCGAATGTTGCAAAACACGCATGGGTCAAGATTATGTAACTGACTTTGCCAATATTCTAAAGTGATAGACAAAGAAAATCATAGAAACCTTAAAACCTTAGAGTACTCGCACACTGCACTAACAGACGAAGCTGATAATAACTCTTATACGCTTTCAGCACAATACACAATACTTTTAAGAAAGGAACTCAAGAAACATTAATTACTTAAATATTCATATTACCCATTTGTAACATAGCATAGATAGTCTCAGATTTCATACCACCTACTTAAGTTTAGCGTCCTCTATAGAATCATTTGTATACACCAGTCGAAGGCTATAGACTGATAGCCAAAAGCTTGTAGAAATAAATATTAAGTCAGAGCACGTTCAATAAATAATGTTTCAACCTGGCTAGGCATCCTCTATTTTTTCAATATGTTCTTTTTGTTTAAATCTTTCCTATGCATTTTATGCGAAAGTTTCTTAGTTAAATTAACGTTTGTAGAAGTTCATGATAAAAAGTAAAGCAAATTATTTCATAAGCGTAGCTGTACGAAGTAAATTTATTTCATTTCAAAATGCGAATAATATAAAGTTGAAGCTCAAGTTGAAGAGTTTAATACCGGCAAAAAGCAGTTGATTTCAATTCACATTTAAAAACGTTTTACGTACAGTTTCGTTTTTAATTTCACATTAAACTAAAGCCCGTGTAAAACAACATAATATATCTATTTCATATATTTTAGAAATTGATAGTTCTGTTCAAGTTTCATCTATAATTTGTTAGCAGGTTTGTACAAAAAATTAAAAAACAAGCCTGCGTTCAGAGTTGACGTAATTACGAATACTTCATGTTGAAACAATGTTTGGATAATATAGGCGAGGGGTTGTTGCCTGCATGTATTTCTAGTTATATATTTTTTTCCAAATTCAACAACAGTAGGTATGTAATTAACTAGTATAATTTAATCTATCTTTGAGTGTGTTTTTTAAATTTACAACTTGTTGTGTCCTCGATCAATTGTAGAACTGTCGCCGAAACTTATCTAACTCCTGTAAATCAACTGAAGTCACATGTATTACTTTATCTGCTAAATCAAATAAAGCAGTTAGGCCTATAAGTTGTTTTCTATGAAAAGTGAAATTTGTAGTGCAATGTTTTGAAAACGGTTTTCACACTGATTTTAACAACAAAACCAAATTTCAATAAAACTATAGATTAATACAAGTGTAATAGTGTTTTGTTATTAGTACTTTCAATACTAATATTTTATTTTATTTTCGCGTCAAACAAGCCAAAAATATATTTTTTCATTTGTAAGCAAAACGTTGAAATAAGAATTATTAAAGAAAAACCTATAAATCACGCACATTTCGTGTTGTCTGGTTGTCACACAGTACACTTTACACGGAATCTTCCGGTTGAGAAATTTGTGGAATTTGTAAAAAAATTTAAATTTGCTGTTTCGAATCTTTCTGCTGAAAGTATATGGGTACACATTACCTAACATAGATATATACTTTACACGCACGCGCAGATCGTGTTAATGTCAAGTCGATTTATTTATTTTTCACGTCAGCGTCTGGCCGCGATGATTTTCTCGTGTTTGCTTCGGTTGTTTTTTTTTAACTTTTGTTAAACAAGACGAGTGGGAAAAATTATAAAAAATTTAAGAAATGCTACAAGTATCCTTTTCTGTAGCCGTTATTCATGAATATCTCGAAAACTTATTCGCGAAATACTTATTTTCGAGATATTTGGGAGATTTGTGATATGTTTTCCTTTATGGACCACAAACTTGAAGAGAAAAATTCAGAAAAATTCACGGAAAGAAAATAAAGACATTGTCAATTTATTGTGAAAATGGACAATAAAAGCAAAATATGAAACGTCATAGCTTCCATCGCAACATTAACGCTGTTCATAGTTGTTCATAAATGAGCAGTATACAGCTTCTAAACTTTCCCTTAAATGATCATATTGCCCTCGTTTTAGCGTGTTCAATATAAATGCGGTTCAAAGCGAACTTTACTCAAAGTACCTAAAATTTTGGAGAATTTTAGGGAGCCGCCTTATCAAGTAATAATCGGTGGGGCAATCGTCAGAACCACTGAAAAAGTACCTTTCACCTCTAAGATTGTCGATCTGATTATCGTTCCAAACTCAAGACATTCATGTGATCTGAAAAGAGTCAGTAAACGCTAAACTGAAGTCGAGGACTTTGTTCGAGTACTATGGCTTCCTCCGACAGGGAATGTAAAAAGTGTTGGTTGGGATTAGCCCTTCAATGCCCTTTTAAATTTTTTCCCCATATATCATAACATATTTACAATTTTTAATAATTAATTAATAATATGGCTAGCTTTCCATCGTAGCTGTGCTTAATTCGTGATCGGATATGAATGATAAGGTGGTTGCCAAAGAAAATAAAGCTTAAGAAAGATTGATTGATCAATGATCAATGATTGATTGATTGATTTTTTTTTCATTGATTGATTGATTGATTGACGAATGATTGTTATGCCCTTCGCAATTCAGCGTTACTTTAAAGGATGATTAGCTCACCGCATATACAGAACTTCCTTATACTTGTTAAGAGGAGATTTTTTACAAACTCGCGTATTTGGCTCTCAAAACCAATCAGATTGCCGGAATGCTGAGAAAGCGATAGAACAATGCTGGCAATATGGCGGCGTCGTTTCGTATCGAGGAGTGTGTCGTTTGAAAATGATGCAGTTTTTAACACAAATGACAACTGGATGGGCAGATTTTTGATAGATATAATTAGTTAATTTAATCTCAAGATGTGAGGAGATGGATTTAACAAGATGAATTTATAATAAACAAAGAATTACAAGCGATGCAAAATTTAGTGGCATTTGTTTTGATTGGACAGTCATACAACCTTGGAAGGTATGGTTTAATTTATACTGATTTTCTAGCCAATAACCCAGCTGCTTCTTATCATACTACAAAATATTAAAAACAAACCTGACATACTCAACTTACAGCAAATCATATATTAACAGAACTAGCGTGTTTGTCCAACATTAATTTTGCAGATTTTTACAAACGATTTCAAAATTTAACTAATTTATTTGGCAAGGTGATTAAATGCAGCATGTTTGGCTATAGCTTTAAAACTAAATGGAAATATTGAACTACAGTATATGTTCTGTTTTTTAAAATATATTTTCTTTAATTAAATGTATCGATTTTAAAATGCTAACCATGCAAACACACCTTTCATATAAAAATCCTGCATGTCTGAACCTCTTTATTTAACTCATTCAGTGAATTTTTCTTATTACTTTCATTGAAAATAAACACATCGATGGGTCATATTGGAATTCTATCAAGCCAGGCATAAATTAGATCATGAATATACACAGTATATCTTAATAAATTTACAAAAATATCAGATTTTCTAATAAGATCTTTTCTTGCAGGTTATCAAAGGAAACAAGAAATGAAACAGGATGAAAATGAATATTTATTAAATCACAGATTGTGATACAAATTTAATTATGAAACAAATTTATATATTGTGTGAATATTACAAAAAGTTTATCGGATGTACAAAATACTCTACAATGTACAGACATCTGTCTTCATAATCATATCTTTAAGGTTGTAAAAGTAATATCCCAGAGATCTGTAAAAAATATACTTTCATTGTTAACTCAGAGGGAAAGAAGTGTTCTTTTGTGTGGCATCGGGATTGATTTACTGGAGGGGGTTCAGTGTCAAATATTTTTATAAAAAAAAGGTTTTTATGACCTTATAGGCAACGTTGTTTTCCAAAAGATTGATTGAGCCCAAGGGTGGACTTTCATTTTTTTTATAGGAGAGGTGGAAAAATTTCTAGTAGGGTGCAAGTAGCAAAATAGGTGGCGTGAATTTCTAGGGTCACGTCTCTCCCCCCCCCTGTATATGTGCACATGCCTGAGCCTGTCTGGGATCGGTCTACAGTGATGATGCATCCTGCCTCATCAGGTCAGGCCCTGCTTTATGACCAGCCCCAGTTTAGCAACCCTCGTGCCACATCAAGTTATATGCATGAGGGAAAGTAGCTTGTTTCAACTATTATTTCCACTTGCAATTGTCAACTATGTCCCATATGAATTTGTGGTTCCCAATTACTTTAGTATATTGTATGACTGGCATGGTATACCTGAAGCAATGCAACAGCTGCATGTGTACAAAACAATATGAAGTATAAAAATATAGATATGCATGTTATGTGCACTTGCAATGAAATGTTTTTTATAATATATGGACATATGCAACAGTAACCGGAACAAAAAAAAACTGATTCGAAGTAAATGAATTATATTTACAAATCTTTAAATTCTTCCTTGAAAATTCAAAAATAATGCTTTAAAATTTTGTATGTACCTACTGTATGTTAACGAGTTATGAACAGGTAGGCCATCATTCCAAAGACGAAAGCAGTCACTTTCAATTAGTTTAATATTATAATAGCTTTAAATTATGCTCACTCCTGAATCCGATACATGTGCATATTTACATAATAATAATTTAAATAACAGCTATTAAATACGATATTACACTTACCGTGTTATCTTTCTTTTTATTTGACAATGTTTTGCCTCGTGATACAGCAAAAAATCCAGTAAAATTCTGTTACTTTTCTTCGCAAATTTTGAGAAACTTTTAAAACCAAGATGGCGGTTCAGCATTTTTTCGCGAAGGCCTGGTCGCTAAGTTTTGAGCGCTTTTCCAAAAAAATACGCGACTTTGTAAAAAATCTTTGTAAAAGGGGTCTTCTAATACCTGTGCAATTATCTCCATCCCCGTAAGAAAAAGGATATGGACAATGTATGCAAAACGAACTTCCATGTGGCACGATATGTCCGTCTCCTTCTACGCAACTGCTGGTAAGATAACAAGTGTCCGACCGGCATGGCATCTTCTTCAACTTCCTGCAAACTCTAGTGTCCACCTTTTTCTTTGAACAGACAATCCATGTCCGTTCAGATTCACAATACGAAATTGACCTGAAGATGCATTTGTTCAAAACACGCTGGGAATAGAACCCCGAACAACGTACACGCCACAACGGCAAACGCCCTAGAAGAAGAGAACAGAAGAGAACACACTATAAAATAGTCCGGCCGAGTTGTGCACAAATTGCGCCTGTTATGTTAATATTTTTTGTCACGCGATTGTAGCAGATTGTAACGGAAAATATTTTTTTTACAATTTGCTAACCGGCGTTACAGTCCACTTCATCGCTGTGTGTTTACTGTGCAATAATTTCAAATTTCGCGTCCCGCGTGTGAGATCATTTAACGAATTACTCGAATTTAAAATTGATGCAAACAGAAGTGAACATGCAGCATGCGGTTTGGAGCATGCGGTTGACGAATGAGAAGGATTTCAATCCTGTTGTCAGCTCAAGCGCATTTAGGTCCATTTGAAGCCGATAGTTCAATTGACTCGAATAATTGCTAAAGGCCCTGTCACACTATTGCGTATCGTCCTAGCGTATGCCAGCGTATGAAAAATATCACTCATATACGCTGGTATACGCTGACATACGCTAGGGCAACGCTAGGCATAGGTTGTATACGTTTCAAGCAAGGTTGCATACGGTAGCATACGGCGAGGCAGAATTTTTTTTTAAGCACGCCCAAAATTTTTTAGCGTATTCGGACATATGGTTTATACGATAAGCATACTCTAAGCACACGCTGAATACGCTAGAGGTACTTCAGATGTTCGTTACTCATACGCTGACATTTCAAAGGATTTTTTTGCGTATGAAAATTATTTCATTAATTTTCAGACGCTTTTTAATATACGTTACTCTCATACTGCAAATATTGCCTTGCGAAATGCTAAAACGGAATACTATGCAACAAAATTCCTCAATAACAAAACGAACCCAAAATATGCGTGGAAAACAGTTAATGAGATACTGGGAAGAAGTCAGAAGCAAAATATTGTTAACGAAATTAATCTACCAGAGAAAACAGTTACATCAACTACTGAACTGGTTAATGTTTTTAATGATTATTTTACCGATGTTGGTCCTAAACTTGCTGAAAAAATTGAATACGAACACAACTGTAGCTTTCGAGATTTCATTCCTGAACATGAACCAGTTGAGAGATTTATTTTCCAACCTGTAAATGTTGCAACAGTTTATAGACTTATAACCAAATTAACTATCTCCAAAGCTACAGGTATCGACGAAATTTCAGCTAATTTATTAAAGGCTGCAGCTCCTGCTATTGCAGAGCCTTTAACAAGGATTTTTAATATGTCTATTGCCACTGACAGATTCCCGATGGAGTGGAAAGCAGCACGAATAACTCCAATTTTTAAAAAAGGCCAACGGACTATGTTAGACAATTATAGACCAATTTCAATTTTACCTGTGTTCAGCAAACTGATGGAAAGGATTCTGTACGACCAAATGTATAATTATTTAAAGAAACAGAATGTTCTTTCAGAACATCAGTTTGGTTTTAGACAATTTCATTCCACAACTACCACACTTTTAGATTGTACTAATGAATGGTATATTAACATGGACCGTGGCCTATACAACATAGTTGTTCTTCTCGATTTAAAGAAAGCATTCGGTACTGTCAACCATGAAATTCTTTTACGCAAGTTCGAACGGTATGGCTTTGGTTATAAAGCCCTAGATTTACTAAGTAATTACTTAACAAATCGAACACAAAGATGTCAGCTAAATGGAATGCTTTCAGATCAGAGAGGAATAACGTGCGGCATCCCTCAGGGAAGTATACTTGGCCCTCTTCTGTTTATTATCTATATAAATGATTTGCCAAGTTGTCTCAAACATACAACACCAAGGATGTTTGCAGACGATACCAGCCTTACAGCTGTGGGCAAAACATTAAATGAAGCAGAAGAGATAGCGAATAAGGATTTGAAAAATATTAAAGTGTGGTTGTCTTCAAACAAACTTAGCTTAAATATTGCGAAAACGGAATATATTTTGATTGGATCACGTTCTAAGATTAATAGCATGGATGTCCAACCCACAGTTAAGATTGACACATGTCCAATCAAAAGAGTAAAAAGCGCAAAAGTGCTAGGAGTTGAAATCGATGAGAACCTAAACTGGGAAAAACATATTGAATATATCGCTAGTAAAGTATCTTCGGGGATTGGTGCGTTAAAAAAAACTTAAAGAATTTGTAGACCGAGATACATTAGTGCTGGTGTATAATGCATTGATCCAGCCGCATTTTGATTACTGTTGTGAGGTTTGGGATGAGCTTGGCAAAGGCCTCGGCGAACGTCTTCAAAATTTGCAAAATCGAGCGCCTAGAGTAATTATGAAGTTTAAAAATGAGCATGGACAGTCTATCTTAGCTCGTACTGCTCTTGGTTGGACATCCCTTGAAGAACGTAGAGCATTAATGAAGGCCAAACTCATGTACAAAACAGTAAATCAACTAGCTCCACAAAGACTGTGTAACATTTTCCAATCTTCCAACACTGTCAATAGTTATAATTTAAGAGGTTCTCAGTCAACTGGTTTTTTAATAATAATAATAATAATAATTACAATATTTAGTCAGGGGGTCCACTCACGAAAGTGATTTTCAGTGGAGCCCTGATAAAAAAAAATAAAAGAATAAAAATATAAAACTAACAAAAGTGAATATATGAAAAGTTATATCGTATAAAGTTCTTGCGCATCCAATCGGTTCGGTAGTGAGTCCTATGGCTATGTAGCTAAATGTTTCTTTAGTTTAATTTTAAAAATTTTAATTTGCTGTATATTTCGGATTTCCACTGGCAGACTATTCCAGTCGTTGGCAGCATGGTAGCTGAATGCCTGCTTCCCCCAGTTCTTCTTGACGCGTTCCAAATGTATTTTCTGTTTGGTTCGAGTGTTGTAGCTGTGGATGTCAGAGGAGAACTTGAAATTAAATTTAAAATCGATGTCATTGTTTAAACACTTGTGCATGATTAGACAACGGTGAAGGTGTCTACGAGTTGCTAACGGCTGCCAATTTAACGATCGTAGGGATTCTGAGGCTGACGAGAGTGGATGAGCGTCAAGAATGATTTTAGCGGCTTTGTTGTGAAGAACTTGAAGGTGGTTCATCAGGACAGAGTTGTTTTTATCACCCCACACAAAATCAGCGTAGTCAAAGATCGGCATGACAAGGCTGTTTACTAGAGTACGACGAGATTCAACAGTTAGTAGGTGTTTAACTCTTCGTATGATACCAAGACGTTGATTAACTTTGGTAAAGAGTGCTTCAATATGATCTGACCACGATAATGTCTGATTAAGGTTATACCAAGATACTTAAATGATTCAACACGATTTAGTGGGCTATTATTAATAAGAAGATTTATATTTTGTAGTTTGGCAAGTTTGGCATTACTTCCGAAAACCATAAATTTGCATTTAGAAGTGTTAAGAGTTAAACGGTTAGCACCAAACCAACGAGATAAGTTCTGTAGGTCAGAGTTTAGCTTTTGTTCCAATTCAATAATGGTTTTAGCTGAGAAAAACAGGACTGTATCATCTGCATACAGGGAAATGTCACAGTTATTAACAGTGGAGGGAATTTCATTCACATAAATGAGAAACAGTAAAGGACCCAGTATACTTCCTTGGGGTACTCCGACATGTACTGGTTGAGTGGACGACTGTTCAAGGCCAATAGAAGTGACTTGAAAACGATTAGAGAGATAAGAAGAGAACCAGTTGATTGTTGGCTGTGAAAAACCAATAGTGCCAATTTTCTGTATGAGACGATTATGACTAACCGTGTCGAAGGTCTTCGAAAGATCTAAGAAAACTGCACCGGCGATAGAACCTTTGTCTAAATTATCCAGAATGTTGTCAGTGAAGTAGGTGAGAGCAATTGCCATGGAGAGTTTAGGGCGGAATCCAAATTGTTTCGGGGTCAGGATATTTTCATGAAGTAGATAGCTATGGACTTGACTATGAACAGCTCTTTCAAGTATTTTGCTAGCAGTTGGTAGAATAGTTATTGGTCTATAATTATTGGCATTGCAGCGGTCACCGGATTTGAATAATGCAGTTACTTTGCCACATTTCCATACAGCTGGGAAGACGGAGGTTGCTAATGACCGGTTGTAAAGTTTAGTCAAACTTGTCGTGATAACGTCAGCGGAGTCCTTTAGCAATCTGGCACTGATTTTATCCAAACCAATCGCTTTGTTTGTTTTAAGACTATTTAGTTTGGATTTAACAAAACACTCATCGATTACATCAAAAGCAAACATTACGCCAGATTCAAGATGGTCTTTACAAACGGCAGAGGTGATGGTAGACGTAACTGCGAAATTTATTAACGAGTGTTAAACCAATAGTCGAAAAATGATTATTAAGAATTTCGGAGATTTGCCTGGGTTCGGTAGATGGAGTTCCATCAACTTCAATACATGAAATGTTCGAGCTCGATTTACGTGAAGTAATTTCATTGAGGTGTTTCCAGAGAGTGTTTGGATTATTTTTAGAGATTTCAATAAGATTAAGGTAGTATTCCGATTTACTCTTTTTGACTTGTCTATTTACGTGGGATTTCAAACTTTTGTATTTGGACCAGTCAGAAGGAGAATTAGATTTGGTAGCTTTACGGAATGAGCGGTCGCGTTCCTGCATAGATGTTTTCAACTCAGATGTCATCCAAGGAACATGACAACCTTTTATCCTAGTTCGTTTCGTAGGGGCATGACGTTCTGCAACATCTAAGAACAGCTTATTCCAAACGTTTACTGCGGTATTAATATCGGGGATTTCATCAACAATATTCCAGTCTATGTTCCTGAGCTCATCCAGAAATGCTTCTTTAGAGTAATGTTTGTAGGAAGTATATTCGATTGTTCTGCCAGGACTCTTTGTTACACCAGCCTTGACAACACAGTAAATGAGGGAGTGGTCGCTGATATGTACCGATAACACACCACTTGATACAATGCGGTGTTTGATGTTAACAAACAAGAGATCAATTGCAGTTGATGAGAGTTCGTTTATCCGCGTTGGAGTGTCGATGAGTTGGTTTAAATTGTTTGCACTAGCAAAAATATTAAGTCTTTGTTTC